AAAAAAAAAAAAAAAATCAACATGAAGTGCTTCGTTTGGCGGCCAGTAAGATTTGTTTCAGACACTATTCAACAGCAAACAGGTCGTATAAGAACACCACTTTCACAGAGTAGCAAGTAGCTTAAGGGGACAGAACAAGGCCTTTAAATAAATTGTCACGTTATTTAAAAGAATGCAAAATAAATATAACAGGAGGCCTGTGGGTCAAGATATGGATAGGGAGAGTTCACTCACCAATCACCATCACAGGCAAAACAGACCCTACTCTGGGAAATCAACTTAACTTATTACCAATCAAATCAGAGTAAGATAATGAGAAATAAACCAAAATCTTAAAACACCTTCCCCCAGCCCTCCTTTCTTCCCAAGCTCAACTTCACTCCTGATTTCTCTGCCTCCCCCCCCTACACCACTGCAAGGGGACAGGGAATGGGGTGGGATGGTCAGTTTGTCCCATATTGTCTCTGCTGCTTCTTCCTTCTCATACTCTTCCCCTGCTCCAGCATGGGGTCCCTTCCACGGGAGACAGTCCTCCATGAACTTCTCCAACATGAGCCCTTCCCACAGGCTGCAGTTCTTCATGAACTGCTCCAGCGTGGGTCCCTTCCACAGGGTGCAGTCCTTCAGGAACAGACTGCTCCAGCGTGGGTCCTCCACATGGTCACAAGTTCTGCCAGCATACCTGCTCCAGCCTGAGCTCCTCTCTCCATGGGGCCACAGGTCCTGCCAGGAGCCTGGTCTAGCATGGGCTTCCCATGGGTCAGAGCCTCCTTCGAGTGCCCATCTGCTCTGGTGTGGGGTCCTCCACACACTGCAGGTGGATATCTGCTCCACCGTTAACTTCCAAGGGCTGCAGGGGGACAGCCTGCCTCACCATGGTCTTCACCACAGGCTGCAGGGGAATCTCTACTCCGGTGCCTGGAGCATCCCCTCCCCAATCCTTCTTCACTGACCTTGGTGTCTGCAGAGTTGTTTCTCTCACATATTCTCACTCCTTTCATCAGGCTGCAGTCACGCAGCAGTTTTTTTCCCCCTTCTCAAACATGTTTTCCCAGAGGCACTACCACCATCGCTGATGGGCTTGGCCTTGGCCAACAGCAGGTCCACCTTGGAGCTGGCTAGCATTGGCTCTATCGGACATGGGAGAAGCTTCTAGCAGCTTCTCACAGAAACCACCCCTGTAGCCCCTGCACTACAAAAACCTGCCCAAACCAAACCAACCACCAACCAAAAAACCATACAGCAAAACTAGAAGATAATGAAGCATAAATTAGGAAAATGAAGTGGCACAAAAGACACTAAAAGCAAAACTGCAGATGGCTGTGTTAGGGAATCCTCTCCTGAGCCTAACAGACCACATCCCAGAAGAACATGCTCAACAAAACAAACCCTAACAAAGAATTCATAAAGCAGGATTTCTGGGAGCAGAAGTTATCCTGGTGTCTGTCTGTCCCCTTCAAAGAGGAGTCAATACACAGGCAATTGCTTAAATGGTCTGAGTCTGTTGAACCGGTTGCCACTGAACAGTTTTGAAGGTCATACCTTAATCTCTGACGTGTCTAAAGGAGATGTTTTCATTTACATATTTGCTCAAATCACTTAGCCGTGCAGGTTTGTTCTAAGCTGCTGTTTCTAGCAGTTTGCCCATTTTTTTTTTATAGATGATATTTAAAAAACACTACCAAAATGTTTAAAAATAGGTTGAAACAAATCTTTAATTAATGCAAGATTAGAGAAACAACATTTGTACATTTCCTATGCTATGCTCATGCACTGCACTAAAATTAACAAATAGTTTAGAAATGTCAACCTGTATATCCAAGAGGACGATAAAACAAGGATAATATTTAGCCAATAATGACCCCATAATAGTTCCTAATTAATGAGAGGGTAAAATCTTTGTCTTAGGGGCATTAAAAATCATAGCTGCATTAACTGTGTGCCACTCGTAACAGACATGCTTTTCTGAGCATTTCTTTTTCAAAGTCCCTTAGAAGTAGGTCCTAGACACCCTAGTGTTCACAAGTCACACAGGAGATACCCACAGCTCTCAAACACATCACCACACTCTTTCTTTTGACTTTGTGGCAGCCTGGACTTGTGAGCACCACTGAATTTCCTGAGTTTCCCCAGGTCTGACAGGCTGGCTCCTCTCCAAGCAGCTCCGAGAGCTGTCAGGGCTGTCAGATCAGGCAAGGACTCCGTCAGGAAGCCCTGACACCCAGGAATGAGTGACTTTCAGGCAGCACTCATGACATCATATCTGATGATAGACTGTCTGACTTATCCTTATCCCACACCTAACATCTAGTCAGCAGTAAAGACAGCCCACACATGCACCGACACGCAGGTGAGGTGGCTGATACTAGACCAGGACAGAAGTGTGCAATCAGGAAAACTCCAGCATGACCAAAAAGTTGTACCACTCTCGCAAGCCAACGATTTTTACATGAATCACTTTGATGCTTTTTTGAGCCGCCCTTATACGTGTCTGATGTGGGGTCTGTTTGGGTTCTCTTTTTCCAACCTTAAATCGCTGAGCTCCTCTTATTGCAGATTGAAAATACTGCAGCATGGATTCATGCTGTCTAAACGCCACTTAAGTTTTTGTGTTTAAAAATTTCCATTGCTGATTGAAGGTTTTGGGTATGCCCAGCCAATACGAAACACAAAGCATAGGGACAAACATTGAAGTATATGAAACTACCTTTAGTCCTCACCTGGAAGATCACATCATAATAAAGGCACCCCTGAAAAGAGCTAAAGAGGTAGGATAAATACCTTTGGACCACACCAGACTAGTGCAGAAATAAAAAACTTAAGCTGTCATTTTCCTCTGTGAAAAGATTGATAGAGAACAAGCATAGGAATCACCAGCCCAAATGGTCTATGCAAAATGTATGATCAATCAAAAATGGAGGGAAGGGCAGATTACATGGGGTGATGGAAGACTCACTGCAGAAATTGCTATTATTTCCACTGTGATACTCTGGAAGGTAGCTATAAAACCCACTTACTTCTCTTAAAGCAAGATGCAATTTGTACCTAGCATGGTTGTCATATCAGGGTGAGGTATCTCCAAACTACTGACCAGGGGACTCTGCAGCTGTTGCAGTGATTCAGAGGCATAGCATTTGCCACCCTTTATCATAGCCTCATGCCTCTGTATTTCTCCTTTAAAACAGAGTTATTAGAGCTTTTATACCAAAAGGCACTCTTCTCTGCACAAATTTAGTGCCTGCTCTCGTTCTAATACACAGGGAGACAGACAGCTAGATAGACAGACAGATGTCAAAAGACAATGAATGCATAATTAAGCAAGCAATGAACCTAACAGAAAAGCCTGGATGCCTTACTCTGCATATACCCACACATGCACATTCAAAGTGTGTATGAACTTATGTGTATGTGAGTACACGCACGAAAACACACCCATTCTAAAATCAGATGCAGTGTAACACTGACTGCATCAAGCCCTATCCAACACTTCCCGCCAAAACTGTATTAAATACAGCAGGTTGGGCTGTAAAGATAGCAATACACTATTTTCGGCTCTCTTCACAACTTCTCGTGTTACTGAAATGTCTAACTTCTGCGGAAAATCACACGGCTTTGGAAATTTGCCCAAACCGGTTGCCAGCTCAGTATATCTCTAATACTTGGAACCCTCTAAATATAGGCCTTTTATTCTGGAAGAAGCAAGCGTTGAGGATGCTATTCTGCTACTTGGGAGCAGTGGTTTCATTTTCCCTTCTGAGACTTACAGTTCAAACGGAGGGGGAAACAAAGGAGCTGCTGTTCTCCCTATTCAAATTAATTTATTTCATAAACAACTCAATAATTTCTTCTTTGTTACAGGGAATTTTTTTAGGGTCTTTATTTTGGAAAGACAGTTTCTCCAGAGGAATTGCCAGGGGCCCATCTAGTCCGGTATCCTGTCTCTGACAGTTGCTAATGCCACGGACGGTTATGGAATAACCTATTTATAAGGGAAGTTTCTTAGCCCTGAGGAGTTTGAGGTTGCCTGTGCCTGGAAGCGTGCGAGTTTATAATGCTTATTTTTATCTGTTCGCATATAACCGCAGATGCTCTCCCCAGTCCTACCCAGTTCTAATCCTTCCTGCTGGACTCTCTGACTCAGTGATGCCTAACGGCAGCCATGTCCCACAGGTTACTGGTGCGCCGCATCGCTGGGAGGCTGAGTGGATAAATTTGCCATGTATTGCCTTCCAAAGCAGCTGGATGCTCCTGTCTGACAAAGAGGGGGAGCAGCAAAGCCTGGTTTATGTTCCCCGCACCATTTGATAAAGGATGGGGGTACTTTTTGGAGTTTTTTCTCTCTTTTTTTTTTTTAATCTTACTTTTAGCATGTTGCCTTCCATTTCTCCCTCCCACACTTCGAATTTTTCCCAGACTCCTTTCAAAGACAGCTTGCTGTGTCTTAGCATTTCTCTTATCCCCTCTACAGTTCCTCTTTTTCTCCAGTACTTTTTTTAGAAATGTACGACTCGGGAGACTATTCAAAAATCCATCAACCTCCATCTTAAAATTAGCCTGCAGCTTTCCCCCTCTCGCTGCTGCCGACGCTCAGAGCTCTGACGGAAACTCAGAGCTGCTAATTATGGCGACCATTCACCGCGGGCCAGCTTACACCTTTGTGTCCTTGTGCTCGCCCAAGAGGTTTTACACCCACCAGCTCCACATGTGACTAATGTAGAGGGCACTCAGCATCCTTCACACGGTCTACTTGAACTGTGAAAAGAGATGCTTTTCTCCTCTCTTCCTGCAAGACACCTGTGAAATGGTGAAAAAGTCACAAGACTGTATCCTAAAGACTTTCTCTCCCATTCTTTATACATCCCTGAGTCTTATTTGGTCTCCTAGCCCACCCTGCCCAGGGTGCAGGGAATACCACACAGCCTCCCACAAGCCTCTTCCCAGGCAGGAACAGCTGACCATGCATCAAGCACAGAGGGCAAACCTTCTGTACCCAAACTTACCAGTTGTTTTCACAAAGAGATCCAACACAGAGAGGCAGATCAGGATTGGTGTCTCAACTTGTATCAGTGGCACGAACACAACAAGGATGGCACCTTCGCTTCTTGGGATTCAAGCACAGCGACGCTGCTGGTGGTGCTGGCCAGAACCTGCCTGCAGAGCTCTTTGTTCCTAGGAGTGAGAGGTCACAGAATCACATATGGGGTTGGAAGTGACCTCTAGAGATCATCCAGTCCAACCCCCTGCCAAAGCAGGTCCACCCAGAGCAGGTTGCACAGGAACATGTCTAGGTGGGTTTGGAATGTCTCCAGAGAAGGAGACTCCAACTGGGCAGCCTATTCCAAGGTCACCATTGATCAGTGTTTTCTAGCACATGCAGTGAGACCTCCCCTCTTTCCCTCTTGAAAGACTCTGTTTTAGACTGGCTTCAACTCACTGATACTTGGATTTATAAGGCTCCAGTGGGCCTCCTGCTAAGTCAGCCAGCAGGAAGGAGAGAGGGTTGGACAGACCTCATGCTCCCTACAAGGGAGGTTAGTGATTTAGAGACCTTCAGAAGGTAAAAGGGTGTCTGGAGATACCGCCTCACAGCCTGAGGCAAGGATGGGAAAGTTGAAGTCCCCAGAGGGGACTCGGCAGAGCAGGGTTACCTATGCAGCTCCCTTGGTGTCCCCCGGGTCCCATGGGATGTGCACATCATGAGAACAGTGAAAGCAAGCCAGCCACAGAGATGGACTTTCATCTTGGTGCTGTGTTCTTTGGTCTTCATGAGCAGGAAGCTCCCATTTGTGAGATTAAAGCTTCATGATAACTTTGGGGTCCCAGCCTTCCTAAATGTCTCTCTCTTCCAATCTCCAGGCAGCAGTAGCCAGAAAGCCTGAAGACTTCAATGAACAGCCTACCAGCTAGAGGAGAAGACGAACAATTACCAAACACTTTGATTAGCAAATGTGTGCAGCCAAAACCAGTTACATGATACTTGCCAGGTGGAGGCAGTTCTCTAATTGCAGGTGGACTGGAAAGCAGCAAGGAACAACATCACCATCAAAGGTGGGTTTGGTGGATGGAGAGGCAAATTTCACACAGGCAGGGGAAAGCATTTCTCTCTGCCACTGGTGAAAGGGGAGCTATCGAACAACAGCAGGACAGAAACAAACAAAGCAAATAATTAGGCAAATTAAATATTTGTCTTTTCTGCACTCTGATACACTGAGGCAGTCAGTAGTAGAGGGTCCTGCTAGAGGCAAGCCTGTTCAGGGAACGCAGTCAACTCCTCTCTGCACCGGGCCAGAAAAAAAGCAGCCTGAACCAGCTCCACCTGAACCATCCCAAACAGATGTGCATCTAACCGGGGTTAAAATCCGAGGGCTGCAGAGTCCACCCTCTCCCCAGACAATCCATTCCAGCATTCAACACCACTTCCAGGAGGTTTTTTTTTAACATTTAAGCTACGTCTTTCCTTGCTATAATTTCAGGTCGTTGCCTGAAAACGCAGGGAACAGATGACTCTGGCTGTCTTTGCAGTCACATTTTACACGTTTAAGAGTCAGTTATTGCATCTGCACTTTTATCACTCGCCTTGTCCAGGGCTCCTGAAAGGACCTCATCACCACGGAAGCCAACAGTCTCGCATCTTTCACGGTGTCATCCTATAAAAAAAAAAAAAACAAAACCAAAAAAACACCTTTCTGAGCAAGGCCAGGCCACCTTTCTCAGTTTATGATCTAAACCCGAAAGAGGCTACGTGACTTTCCCAAAGTCAGATAACAATCCTCAGAGAGAAGCAAGCTGCCTCTCCCACTCTCCCTCTCTTCCAAGCCCACCTGCTGGGCTCTCCACCTCCTGTTCCAGGGTGAGAACTGAGATGCTGTAGGCTCCGTTCCTCAAAAATGACTCACTTTCTCAGTGTTTTCATAGTGTGGAGAAGAAGGTGACTCAGACACTGCTCCTCAATAAATAAATCATGGGTTGTTCTCAAGGGCGATCCACAAAAGGACAGCGAGTCTTTTCAGCGCTGTACAAGCCACTTGCATTATACCTCCTGACCGCTTCGTGGCTGGAGCCTCTCCAACATCTGCCAGACTATTTAAGATAATCTGCCTGCTTTATCTCGCCATTGGTGTTATGAGATTGTCTGGGGGCCTTGTCCTAAAGGAAAGCCCCCAACTTACAAACACATAATAACAAATGGCCTCTCCCCAGCTCTCTCTCTGGAGAGGCAGCAGGTCCGAGAGGTGTGATTTTGCAGACAGGGAACGAGGCCCAGGGAGATTTGGTGACCTGCCAAGAATCACACAGGAAAGCCATGTCAGCTTGAGGAATTAAACCCCACTGCACTGAGCTCCAGCCCAACTGTGTGCCTGAGCACGGCTCCTGGCTGTGACTGCAGCGAGGGTTCGTGCTGAGTGTGCACAGCTCAAAAGCTGTCTGTGGATTTTTACCAGAAAGGGGATCGAGTTATAGTATTTGGAACTGGTTCTCCAGCACGCTGAACTCCTGGTTACCTGAATTCAGGCATTTGGTTTTTAACTCTTCCATATCTAAAGAGAGGATCTACCGAAAGAAAAAAAAAATAAAATAAAAAAGGTGTTATTTTTGGAAACCAGAACCCTCCCACGGAAACTCAGGGTGCTAGAAAACAGGGTGAGCAGAATCATATGGGGTTGGAAGGGACCTCTGGAGATCATCTAGTCCAACCCCCCCACCAAAGCAGGTCCACCCAGAGCAGGTTGCACAGGAACGTGTCCAGGTGGGGTATGAACGTCTCCAGAGAAGGAGACTCCACCACCTCCCTGGGCAGCCTCTTCCAGGGCTCTGCCACTCTCACAGGAAAGAAGCTCCTCCTCATGTTTAGGTGGAACTTCTTATACTCAAGTTTGTGCCCATTTCCTCTTGTCCTGTCACTGGGCACCATTGAGAAAAGACCAGCCCCGTCCTCCTGACTCCCTCCCTTTAAGTATTTGCTTTGCACTCATTGCTTTGCTTTTCATTTTTATAAGATTCACAGGGTTTAAGGTTAGACAGCCTGACTGTTCTGTCAGAGCCACTCCATGCCCAGGACCAAGTAAAACACAAGTGGGAAGAAAGACTCCCTCTCCTTCTGTGTCTCCAAAGGGACCAGCTCCACAGGGCCGCTCTGTACTCCCTGCAGCCCTGCAGGAGCCAAGGCATTGTCAGGGTGACTCAATATATTAAAAATGAATGAGTTTCTTTTCAAAATTCCTCGGGGAACCTTTCAAGGTAAAATATTTTGTAATGGAAGCCCTAAGTCACCATAGTCCTGGTCAGGTTATCCATGCCCTCGGAAAAGGAGAAGGAAACAAACGTTACCTGGCTGTCAGCAGGCAATATCTCCCCAAGATGCAGAGGGTGAGCCGTCAGGGAGAAGCTAGTCCTAGAACATCTTCAGTCTTACAACACTCTGCCTATTTTTCCTGCTTGGCAATTTGCTTTCTGGGCTTTCTGGACCCTAAACTCTGAAGCCCTGGGGCAGTCCAAAGAATTTAAGCCGTCTGTCAGGTGGGTGAGTGTGAGGGAACGCTTCTCTGTACAAACATCCAACTCCTCAACCTGTCCCAAAGAGCAGGTTAGGAGCACACAGCCCAACCAGATGCTTGTTTCCATGGAAGGAAAATCCAGATCTGTGGCCAAGACACAGATCCGGTCTAGATTAGAAAACCAGGGCTGAGGGATGCTCTTAGCCCGGAGTACAAATGAAGTAACAGCCTGCACCAGCCTCAAAAAAAGAAAATTCTTCAAAAGGCGAAAATCAAAAGTTATCTTGATTTTCACACTGACTAGCCCCTCTCTCATTTACCTTCTACTCCTACTCTGTGGGAAATCTTGAAATGTAAATTGGTCACATTTCAGAATAATACATGGTTTTCCTCCCAAAATTTCAATATCTAGTGAACTCTGCTCATCAGGCGACTATGACCATATTCATAAGCACAGGTCATTTAAACAGTATTACTGCCACACTATATGCTCATATACTAGTGTCCCTAAAAGAGAAGTTGAAAGAAAGAGCTACTTTGCAGGCATAAAGCTCCATTTACAGTGACCAGGCATGCAGATCTCAATTCAGTTTAGAAAGTGTTCGGTGCATTTTATGTAATCCCAAATTGCCGTATTTTGTGTACCTTTTTATCAGCTCAGAGATTGGTAAACAACCACTGTATGTTTGGAACAGAATATTGATGCCATTTCCCAGGTGACAATTTTAATAGTCAATATATTTAATTCAAGAACTGACAGCTGCAGTTTAAAGCTGGAAAGATTTGATTTAATAAGAGATATATCCAGCGCGACAGACAATTTGGTTAATGCAGGAAGAAATTTGGTTTGTGGCTGATCCCTGCCCTCTGCAAAAGGCAAAAGAGCTTCAGCCAGCAGTGCCTGCATCACAGCATCCTGAACCACTTTGTCTCTGCCCTCCATTTCAGCATGTGAGAGATGCATTTCCCAATTAATAAACATCTCGCACTGCTCACTTGACTTCTTTGCAGTGTCAAGTACCTGCAGCATTTCTGAATCACAAGCAGAGTCCTCCAGCACCTCCCAAGTGACCAACCCACCCAAGGCAGACACCTCCTAATTCACGCAGGAAAAGCCCAGGACTAGGGTTGGAAAGGGAGAAGGAAGCTCTAAAATCCTACATATCTTAAAATGGGAAAGCAAAGGGTAGGGGTTGGCTTTTGGATATTAAAAGGAATGACAAAGGAAAGGAAAATGGATATTCAGGACAGATTTTCTTTCTCCTGAATGAAAAAAATCAGAACTTGTGGGAGGGAGGGGACAGGAAATATTTTCAGCTCGATCTCAAGTCATACATACGTGCTCGTATGTATGCCTTTGCTCGAGTAGGTACATTTATTTTATCTGCCTTTAGCTAAAGCCAAGTTAGTAATTTCTGGTGCAACATACTTCTCTCAAAAATGCCTGAGTTACATCCCTTAGACCACCATGACTATGCCACCAGTGTACGCTTTACACCTTGTTTTTTGATGCTCTAACCAATTTTCCAAAAACTGCGTATTTTTTCCTTTTCCTATGTGAGATAATTATCAGACACCTTTGAAGTCCTCTTTTCCAAGTGAATTCGTAAGCCTGACAGTGTTTATTCACATATTCTCTCCTCTCATGTACATGAGCCTCAATCTGGAGTAATTCCACCCATTCCAATGTGCATGGACATCCCCTGCCCTGGGCAGGGCCAAAGCAGCAGGTGATGAGAATCAGATGAGCAGGGCTGAAGTCAGTGGGATGTGAATTCACACCAGCAGACCATACAGACATGGGAAGGGAGCAAAAAGACACGTGGAGGAGCAGTGCAGAGTGCAGGGCTGCCACAGGGTGACCCCCAAATCAGCTATGATGGGTGGTCAGACAAGGACTCATGACAGATGGGTGAGTGGTGGTCCCACTCCAGGGCAGAGGAGATAGGAGAGTGGGCTCTCTTCCCTGAAAGTCTGAAAAAGGACAGAGAACCAGTTGGTACCAAATGATAGAGGGAAGAAAATTTGCATTACTTACTTTCCCCAAAAGAATCAGCAAGTGAGGCACTCCTGTTTCCTTCTTTCCAGTGGAAAAATCAGTGTTTTCTGGAAGAGGTGGACATTTTCATTTTTCTGGACAAAATAAACATTTTTTTTTTTTTTAAATCAACAGCATTTGTTTTCCCAATTGCCTTCCTTATCAGCCCTCTCCCCCTCCCCCCTTCAGGAAATGGCATCACATCTTTTCAGAAGCACAAAAAGGGAATATTTATTTTTTAAGTGCAAGTATAGAAAAGATGACTATGTATTTATACCTTTTCCTTCTCTTCCTCTAGTAAGGAAATGCAACGTGACCATAAACTCCCCAGATAGTACCAGTGGTGACAAGCCCCGCAGTGAGCAATATCTGACGTGAGCAATATCCCACATGAGCTGACCCTCCACAGGGAAGACGGAGGAGGAAGGGAATCCTTTTACGTGAAGGGGGCAAAGAGGTGGGCAGGTGAGAACCAAGCCCTGCTGTGACAAGTCAGAGAAAAGGTGACAACTTTGCAGCACGAGCAAAGTGCCTTTGGCCGATGTGACAAGTGCTGCTACTGTGTGACTGTGCACTGATTCGGTTCCTTCTCTGTGCCCCAGCTCTCTGCCTCCAGTTGTAATTTAGGCAGGATGCAAAAGCCAGCCTCTTGCCTTCAGCGCTGCCCCGGCTTATGCACACATGATCTGATTAACTTCAGTGAATCCGCAGAGGGTAAGGGGTTAACCTCTTCATTTGGAATTGGGTTCCACTGCTGATGCACTGGGAAGAATTGAGTCCACTGACACTTGCTCTCTTTCCAAATCATATTAGTCCTCCAGGCTCCAGAGGAAGAAATAATAAATAAAAAAAGAAATATTAAAAAAAAAGAATGAAAAATCCCCACAGCCTGGTCAGACAGCACTTACAATCTAGTTAGAACGGTTTAAAGTCTTACCACCCCCTCAGCTGTGAGGCAATACTCGGATTTACTTGATTGCAGTGGCTCATCTGGCTATATCCTCACGATAGGACCCAGCCCTGCAATTAACTCCGCGCCGTCTGACTACTCTCCCTTCTGGAAACCTGTGACCCACCAGAACACGCCGGGGGCTTAGCAGCTCCTCCATGACCCATCCGACGCCGGATCAGGGCTCTCACCAGGGAGCCAGGCAGCTACAGCCCCAGACACAGACAGAGCTATTGAGCAAGAAGGGTTTCATTATTATGCTTTAAACACATTCCCCTTCAAAAACATAAGCACACTTTTTAATTAAGCCTTTGGTGTCTCTTTTCAACATCAAATATCTCAGTGCCTCTGTCCTTTCCTTTTTAATCTGATTGGAAGTGTATTTGGCCATATCATATATATGACAAAAGGCATTTTTTTCTCATTGCTTCAAATTATTTTTCCAATCATGTTCTATATACTGTGCACAGGAGTGAATTATAAGGAGTTAGGCAACATACATGGTGTTAATTAGATAGGGGACATAGAAGGTAATTTTTCCATGACTCCAGGGAAACCTTTATGTTATGCTTATAAAGCAAATGCAAACGGCCATGCAATACAAAGTGCTTCTTAAAAATCAAGTTACACACTGAAATGAAATACTAAGAGCAAAATTAGTTTCTCCGATTTAATTCAGTATAATTTTAATAGCGTCTGACTGCTCTCTGCAAATTAAAAAAAAAAAAAAAAAAATTAAAAGGAATTCACAAACGACTGCTGATGTAAAAACACGGAGGCTCGGATTCTGAGTCTAACAAAGGTCCGGATGCAGCAAAGCGCTGGAGCTGCTAGGTAGGGGGACGTGGGAGCTTTGATCTGCAGGGAAAGGTTCAAGGAACACTCCAAACCTGAGCTGTGAGCCTTACGCACACATCAGTAATTGCATGTGCTAATCAGGTAAACACTTCTGAAAACCCGGACAAGCTTGAGCAGGAGAAAGGCAGGCGCAGTGAATCAGGGGAGCCAGTGGGGCTCTTTAATCTCCGACGCCGCGATAACCAGTGGAGGATGCTGGAAGTTTCACTGCACGCACAGGAAAACACAAATGGAAATTTTCCTAAATGTCACTCAATAACTACAGACAATAGATAACTTTTATGAAAACTGAACTGCTAGTAGCAGCAAGATCAGAGGAAACAGAGCTGCCACTCGTGCCTTTGCTATGGTGGCTCAGAAGAGCACAGCAGTATAAAAAAAATACTTTCTGGAAATGTGACTTTTCCAGTAGGGATCTGCAGAGTTATAATTCATCTGGTACATTTTTTTGGTATGTTAAGTGAAGGGCATAATGCACGACTGATCATGTAGGGAACTTTTATTTCCCACGAAAGATTTTTCTACCATCTTTGTGATAACTAACACTTTCATTAAAACGCTGTGTCCCTCCTGGCCAGAATGAAACTGTGCATGCCTTATATCCTACTCTTAACAATGTTTTTAAGGTCATGAATCTTATCAACTAATATTTCAGAGTGATTCATACCATTTCTAATATGTAGTAGTTGGGCAGAATTTTGCAGATAAAAATATTTTCTGAACAGATGCAAAATAATTGCTTTTTTAAATTGCTGATGGGGGTTGTGCCGCTCAAGCAGTTAAGCCTGAAAATGTGCTTAAGAGATTAAACAAGGAAAACTGAGCTGGTCTGGTAGCTGGCCCCTTTCCATGTGCCGAAGAGTTGTCACTACTCCAAATGCAAGGAGATGACTTAGGATTTGCCTTACTTCATCCTGCACAGAAGACGTACAAGATGCAGAAGTTCCCGTGTTCAACCAGGCTTTGCACAGCTTCCTCACGCAGCCACCAAGGCACCGAGGGATTCAGCCCAGGAAAATACGTGTGCCAAGGAGTGATATGGTACTTAAAAGTCAGAAAAGTGCTACCAGTGGATCCGAACAGGCAGCACAAGGTTTCTGCAGTATTTTCAGGGAGGTTTGCAGGAGGATTGCTGCAGCCCCAGCAGGGCAAAAGGCATGTTTAGCCACCTGCATCCAGCAGGAGGGGACCTTTCCTGTCCTTCTTACACGGGAAGTTTCACAAATTATTTTAAAAAATGTAATTTCTTAACACAGTGTTACTTTTGGGGGCGGGGGGGAGGAAGAGAGGGAAGACAACTGTGCCCTGTGCCGAGGGTTGAAATTTAAGGCTTGTTTACTACACAAATAAGTAGATTTGGATCCACCACCAAACTATAATTTCATGTATGCATGTGTGTGTATATGCACACACACCTCCCTCCATTGTTCGATGTTGTGTATTTGTACAGTTATATATTTATTTATAAAAATAAACAGTGAGGAAGTCTTTGAAGTTTCTCTATGCAAAACAAAACGCAGATGGAAAATTTCTCTTTTTTTTTTTTCATACAAATACAGTTGAATCACTGCCTACTAAACACTATTTTCTTCAAAAGGGAAAGCCTGGTGCTCAGCTTCCCTACGTACTTGTGGAGACAAACTTTTGGGTAATTAGAGGTTTTGGCTGCTCCCACAGTCAGGTGCCTAAAGACACGTCAAAGCTGTTTAATTCCCATACACTATACCTAATCTCTCTTATTCCCTCTACAGCATTTTTAGGCACTGCAGTATTAGGACACCTGAAGACACTAGTCAGCCTTTGGCTTTTGGTTAAACACCCTGATTTCACAAACCCAGAACTCTCAAGCAGCCAGGGAATCTCCGTAGCACTGGAGAGGAGCTGATCACTCAAAGTGCTCTTTCTTCACTCTTACTCTCAAAATCCAGTCTGTTTTTTTCGGCTGACGTTTCCAAGGATGCCTTCCAGAGCTCTCTGCCTCATCTCCAGGGGATGTCTGTACTACCTTCTGATGGAAGAGTCAAGGAAGGGGCAAGGGAGCGAGTTAATTTAGTGCAAGCCATATCACAAGCCTATTAATCGCACTGCAAAGCTGAGGGCATGTAGGTGAAAAGATGTAGGTGAAACCTGAGGGACCTGCAGGACGAGGAAGTCCACATGGGCAAGCCCTGGCAGGTTAAGAAGGAAGACAAGGAAGACATGGTCAAGAGGCCCTAGAGACTGAAAGCCTCACAATAATTAACTCAAAGGCTCTCCTTGGAGGCTCCCAACTTCATATTCACAAGGTTGTCCTACTTTCTGCTCTCAGATGATTTTTGCTTTGCAGCACAACTTCATTACATGCCTTTCACCAAGGGGACTCCATCCCTCCCAGGTGCTGACTTCGGGAGGCAGCCATTCTCCTTGCTCTTATACAAGCGAGTCCTTTTATAGGTATCTTTGTCCATTGAAAAACCAAAAGATCCAACATTTCTGAGGAAAATGCAAGCCTGGGAGAAATGATGTGCCGTGCAAAGGGGAAAGGTGAACGAGACAATTAGAGGGCCAATCTAATGACTGCGCTAAGAGCAGAGTGTTTGTTCTTCTGAAATTAAGCCTTTGATTTTTATTCTCTATTAATAATGCAAAATTTGACTGATCTATAAAACATGATCAGTGGTGTGGAACAGAGATAATACCACAAGAATAAACAGTAATGACTATGCCTTGCTCTTACAAGGCTGGCCTTTCAAATGCTTTGCAAAAGGAGCAATGTTACCTGTGATAATAAAGCTCTGTGAACAGTTGACTTTTTCTTCTGATCTTGCTGCATCCAATAGCATCCTCAAATTGTACATGGCACATGTTGTTCCCCTGAACACCAGACAAAAAAAAGGCAAGAAAATAGATCATAAAGATGACACTATAATAAAAAAAATGTACGTACTTCAGTCCTAGAGACAATTCAAACAAGCTGGTCTGTTATGTTGCGTAAATCTGAGTTTTTAGGAAAATACATGTGGTAACAAAAATATCAACTTTTATCTTATAAATATTGGATAGTGCTTGAAACAGATAATTTCTGCCTGGATAGCAAATTTGTTCTAATGATACTATTCATCAAAGAAAGATCACATGACCTTTTGTCCCAAAGACCTGAGTACTAAAAACCCAAACCCCACTAATTCTAGCATGGTTAGTGATTATTTTAAATTAGGTCACAGAGATTCAAAAAGCCTTATGAAATTTTGTGTTAAAAAAAAAAAAAAAAAAAAAAAAAAAGACAATCCAGCAAATGTTAACTGAAAGCAATGGATTTTTTTTTACCATAAGTGAACGTTAGGGAAGATACCACGCTGTTCTCAGTTCGCATTGTTTTCCTGTCATATGGCATCCAAAACGTTCTGGATACAAAATCAGACTCAGGAGTACCTTGGAACAATCAAAATCATAAGGCATATTGGTTAGAAAAGAAGCGAGTGCAAAGTATAGTGCTCCCCTGTTGCTTGTCTCGTGTCCTTTCTTTGGCCCTGTCTCCTGAATGGATTTTGGATCCATGTTGTAGCCTTATGGGCAGCTCTGGCCCTGGATCCATTTCCTCCTGACTGTACTCCTTGTGTGGAACCTGGATCTGGTACCCTGTTGTCACCATCGAGCTCTGCCCACCATCTTCTTACCCTGCTGGACTGCGCCCCATCACTGCCCAGACTGGGGTCTCCCAGCTTACCTGCTGGGCAATTGGTTGTCCCTGGGCAATGGATGTTTTGTCACTCCATTATAGCCAGTTCCCTCCTTTAAGCATCTCTATGAACATGTTATCAGAGTTACCAGTATTGTTTTCACTACTCCCATTCTTCAGCCTACACTGGTTTCCACGAGAGTTACATGCTTGAAGATCCTTTTGGTGTGCTGGGACATGTTTTTCAAGTGCCTCACAAGAATATTGGATCTAGAGTGAAGGAGGCAAAATCAGCCATCTCCCTTCAGAGAATCTGTGTATCTTTTCAGAATCCCACATGTAGTGTTCTGCTGCTGAGTCTTGTCAGAGAAATAACTATTCCGAAAATTTACGTTTGTAGCTTCTTCACATCCTCTAAAAAAGGAAACCCTAAATTTGGAAGACAGTTAATTAAAAATCAGAGGGGAATTCCACTTGATTGGATGGGGCTGAGTGAGGGTATCCAAGGTAAAGCATTCTCCACCAGAGCTAAGCCCTGCCCCTTAAGCAAAGAAGTTCACAAATTGCTTCTGAGACCTCGTAGTCCCTGGCCCCACAAGCCTTGGCACAGAGAGGGGAGGGAAGCCTTTCGGTACCCCAAGATGATCAGCAATGCCAGGCTCTGAGCACCCAGCGTGCCAAGCTTCCCTGGTACTCCTGTGGGAATAGCATCTGTCTGAGATAGAGGTGATCACGCAGGCAAAAAGCAGCCATAGAAGCCTTTCAGCAGGGCAGAGCACAAAGCAGGTTCCCCAGCACCAAAAGCTCACACAAGGAAGCTAGCAAGGTAAAGGAAGATATTAGACTGCTGTAATGAAGCCAGAAAATGCTGTCATTACATTTCTCTTGCTCTATTTGAGTGTCGGGCAGAGGTGTTACAGTCACCAGAGTCACCTGAGACGTGGTGTCCAGTCCTGGGCTCCTCAGTTCCAGAAACACAGGGAACTGCTGGAGAGGGGACAGCAGAGGGCTACAAAGATAATGAGGGGCCTGGAGCATCTCCCTTATGAGGAGAGGCTGAGGGACTTGGGGCTTTTTAGTCTAGAGAAGACTGAGTGGGAGGGTGTCAGGAGGATGGGGCTGGTCTTTTTTCAGGGGTGCCCAGGGATAGGACAAGAGGAAATGGGCACAAACTTGAATGTTCCACCTAAACATGAGGAGGAGCTTCTTCACTTTGAGGGTGGCAGAGCCCTGGAAAAGGCTGCCCAGGGAGGTGGTGGAGTTTCCTTCTCTGGAGACATTCCAAACCCTCCTGGACACGTTCATGTGCAACCTGCTCTGGGTGGACGTGCTTTGGCAGGGGGTTGGACTAGATGATCTCCAGAGGTCCCTTCCAACCCCATGGGATTCTGTAGTGAACTGATTCAACAGCACCTAAGAGTGAGTCCCCCAAGTATACTCTTCCCCGACTACAGTCTGCGCCTTGTGCTAACCCTAATGCCTGTCATATCCCCTCATGAGCAGATTTGACTCACTAAAATGGAAGGATACAGTCAGAAAGAAGCTCTAGTTCACTGAAGAGGTCCGTGAGCTCCCATGCTGGCACTGGCAGCATCGCCTAGCTGGGAGAAACTGGGAGGAAGAGAAAGAGGGAGAGAAATGCAGAGAGTCACTCCTGTCACCACACCACTTGTTGCCAGCATGTGGGGCCAGCACGAGCACATACTGCTGGAAAGGCTCTTTGGCATGAAAGTGTTCCTGAAGCCCCAGCAAAAGGGGGGTGCATAAATCAGGATATCAGTGCACTTTCCTTGTGGAGTGGAAAGAAGTTTCGTCTGAGCCAAAAATCCATAGAAATCCAAGATCTCCTCCAGCTATTACCCTGGAAAGGTTTAAATCCTTCCCGAGTGCAGAAGAGTGAGCCAAAATGGGGTCCGGCTGAGGACACTTGGCTTCCAGTACAAGGCCTCCTTTTCCCCGATGGAGAACCTCCCTGAACCTCTTCTCTTCTGCTCCGTTTACCTTGCTGTGTCCTCTGTGCAGGGCTTCTGCCCACACAGGGCAGGAGGAGAAAGAAAACAGGAGGGATTCTGACAAAAACTGTGAAGTTGCAAAGCCCGGAGCTGTTCTCAACTGGAAGAAAATGCAGCATCTCCCAGAGGCAAAGTGCAGCCTTTGCGTGTTTGCACGGGCGGCTTGGGAAGGTGTAAAGGGCAGCAAACCAGCAGAAGGCATTAGATCTATTTGAACATGTTTCAGATGCAAGTTTGAATCTGGTTTTAATTACAGACTCTGTTGTTTAGCTCCTGTTTTCTCCCTCTTTCAGAGAGGCTGACAGTGTTTTGATAACCATCCTTCTGTGAGCCTGCTGAGGCACCTGAGGGACACACCAAGAAAAGATCAAAGGTCTGAGATTTGGGTGCCCTCTGCATTGTGCTGAGCCCTGTGGCCTGCTCCTCCCAGCCTTCACCTCTGCTCTGGTGGCCTGCCTTTCCCTTCAGTTGCTCTGCCCTATTTGTCTCCAGATAGGATGCCGGCTTGGAAATCTCTTCTCGCCTGTCCAGGCATTTATGTACCAGTCCCAGGCACTCAGCTCTGCCAACGCAATTGCTGCTTTCACAGCCATCTTCTGTCTTGACAGTCACTGCCTTTTTCCCCTCCAAAAAATCTTTATCTCCAAGTTGAAAAGAAAAAATCTGTCCATAAAAAGGCAAGCATCTCAGCCCTACTCCCATCTCTGCTGGAGTTGAAGGGAAATTTGCCAGTGACTTGAACAACACCAGGAGATAACGCTATCCCTTTATCTGTGCATTAATAGTCTTCTCTGCCAATCTCCTCAGCAAGGCAGTCTTGTCAGTTCCCACACAATGCACAAAGACACTATTACTTACGCCTCTAACACAAGATAGGCCCATCAGAGCTTTTCCATTGCCTTGGATGGACTTACTGTGTGCTAATACACATGTGATTTGAACATCTGTTTTGGTTTTGCATAATGACAATACGATTTTGTTGGGGGAAGGAGGAAACTGCAGGAAGCAAGTATCCTTGCACTAGACAGGATGACCAAAGATCACCTCCACCCCAAGCTAAGGTGTGCAGCCTAGCACATGGACCATACTGCAGAAGATACCCATTCTTCCTTGGACCACACAACCAGGCGTGGGGCTGACTCCAACCTCCCCCACAGCTATCATTGCACAAATAGAGGATAAACTCCCAGAGTGGCAGCTTTGGAGAAGGTAACGAGGGGAACAAGGGACAAAACGGCATGCAGAACACTTTGGCTGCCCCCAGGTTGCAGTCATCCTCCACTGTGCTGTACACAAGGAGGTGGTCACATGAAGCATGAGATGATGAACATACTACTGTCTGCAGGGCCAAATCTGAAATCTTAATCTGAGACAAAATCCAAGTAACACTCACCGATTGAAAAGCTGTTTTCAAGACTTTGCTTCATTGTTAGTGCAGAGAACCAGTGATTGAATCTAGACACATATATATTTGAAAAAAGTTAACAGGTAGATTACAGACATTGGTTGCCTATTATTTCAGCAAAATCTTCAGAAAATATACACGGATATTTCAGAAATAACATTAGAATTAAGTAATTCAGTAATTATTTATTAGTTTTACTACTGGCTGTATATAACACTTCCAAACCCATGGCAACAGCAATAACCTACCTTACTACTTTAATCATTTCAATATGTAGTGATGTTGGACTTTGGCAACCTATAACACACAGACATATACACACAAACCTGGATATATACATGCTATTTATCTCAAATACTCTCCGGATATAAAAACAAGAGGGGTGAGTATCAGAGTCACTGGTCATCGAGAATTTCCACATCGCATTTACACCTGGGGCAGAGCAAAGCCCCAGGTTCGTGTTGCTTTACCAGGTAGCCAGCAGACCAGCACTACCTCTGCTTTCACACCATCTCACAGAACCACATGGGGTTGGAAGGGACCTCTGGAGATCATCTAGTCCAACCCCCTGCCAAAGCAGGTTGCACGGGAACATGTCCAGGCAGGTTTGGAATGTCTCCAGAGAAGGAGACTCCACCACCGCCCTGGGCAGCCTCTTCCAGGGCTCTGCCACCCTCACAGCAAAGAAGTTCCTCCTCATGTTTAGGTGGAACTTCTTACATTCAAGTTTGTGCCCATTTCCTCTTGTCCTATCCCTGGGCACCACTGAGAAAAGACCGGCCCCATCCTCTCGACACCCTCCCTCTAAGTATTTATAAGCATTGAAAAGCATCTCACACTAACCTAGTTCAGAACATCATTCCCAAACCCATCCCAAAAGCTTAGGACCATCCTTCTGATTTGGGATTGGTTTGGTCTCAGGTAAATATCATTTGTCAAAGGACTTATGTTAGCACCAACCCCCCAGTCTACACGTACACCTACACTTATCTGTGTTAGACAGAGGTAGTACCATTTACTACTGAAACGCTTTACACAGTAAGACCCTGCTCTCAGCTGCTGCAGATTTTGCTAAATGTTAACTAAAGGAGCTAAGATTTCCCATGTGGGTGTTCTCTTTTAGCTGAATTTTGTGATCCTCACCTTGGGGGGAAGCAGGAAAAAATACTTTTTTTTCCACTCATACTTAAAAGTTCCGAGGAAATCCTTGTTTGGAAGCTTATATTTGGAGGCAGGAACTTGGCCAGTGGTGGCTGGAGGGCAGGAGTTTAACCAAGGACATGCTTTCCACACCCCCAACTACATTAAAAACCCTGCCCATATTTAGCCAAGTTTATGCTTGAAAGATAACTACTTTCAAGGCTCACGCTCAGCCTTCAGAGTCTGCCACCCTCGCATGGGCCAAACTGAGCTTGAGGCAGCTTCACCCAACCCCTGTAGCTGCGGCGTGGGTCTATACCCGTGCTAAAAGCAAGGACATTGCCTTTTTTTTTTTTTTTCATTTTTATGAGTAAATTAAACAGCACCAAGGCCTGCAGCACAGTCTATAGTGTTTAATTATTAGCATGCTCCCTGGCACAGTTTTGGCTTGTCCTATGGAGTACTCTGAGAGACTGTGCTGGGCAGGGTTCAGAGAGTAGCACTTGCCAAAGGCTGTTCCCAAGAGGCAGAAAGGATAAAGCCATCCTGTGATGGGAGGAAGAGGGTTTAGCTGTATGGACGCGAGCCAGGCTATGCCACTTGCTCTTAGTGCCAGAGAATGGGCTCTGGCCCAGTTTAATTACAATGAAGACATATAATCAGTGACTCCTTCTCTGTCAGGCGTTGGCACCGAGGAAGGAGAAAAGAATCAAAGAGCGGAGAGGGAAGAGCTGAAGCCACTAGAGGGGAAGAGATGGCAATGGGAAAGGGTAATCTTCAAGTTGAAGTTTGGGGTAGGAAAAAATGGGATTAAGAGCTGGTGCAAGGTAGGAATGGATATGAAGAGATGAATAGGTCAGGAAGAAGGATTTAGATGGTGATAGGAATTTAATTACTTTGAAAAAAAGTTTAGTAAGTGGAGCAAACAGGTTGCCAGTCAAAAATGAAGAATGGAGTGGGGTGGGGGAGGGGAGAGATAAGGAATAGGTGAGATGGTGAAAACTGGAAAAGTTAGCTCAGGAGAATGGGGAAACAAATCAATCAGGCCTTTGGGCAAGCAGAGGCTACAAAGCCCTTTGAGAGAACCGGGAGTACTTCTGTCCTCCAGGATACATGATCTACCTGGTCCTAGGACAGAGCCAGGACCAAGAGATTTCTCAGGAGATTTCATGTGCTGCTTACACATTTCTGTATTTTTATCTTTAGCTTTCACCTGTGTCACATCTCATTCTTACAGGAGCAATTTAATCTTCCCATCTCAGGAACCTCATGGTCAGATGGAAGAAATGTCAGAAACAGTTAAGGTAACCCACGCTGTGTGTAGCCCTGAGAGAAAACGTGGAGCAGCAATTTCCATCAATAACTCCCTGCAGAGGTTTGGAAAGGCTCCCTGTTCCCTTAAAAGTATCCTTGAAGAATCATTTTAATTAACCGTTTACCTGCTGTAGGTTGCCTGAAGCTTTCAGTAGCGAACATTGCAGTCACTTTAGCAGCAGCTTGTCACTAGTCATACGAGCAGTCAAGGCAGGATACACTTGCAGTCTTTGATTTCTGTCAAGAAAAGTACAAGCCGCACTGGGGTAAAAAAATCCATCCTGGGAACCATCTGACCGACCTGAAAATTGAGACACAAGAGGAGACCTCAGATTTCCTTCTCGCTGCTACTACAACATAAATATTTCTTTTTTTCTTTTTTTTATAACTGAATATTTTACTGACCCAGCAAAAAAAAAAAAAAAAAAAAGAAATCCTCTTACCATGATCACTAACGAACAAAAAAGCAGAGAGCTCCCACTGCTATTGTGCTTGGAATATAATAGTCAAGGTTAGCACATAATAGCTAAACAATATGCATTTGAAAGCTGTCAAGAGAATAGCGCTTTGTTCTAATGAAAAGGATTGAAATGTTTTCTACTGTCTGCCTTGACACTTCATGTTACAGTACTTGGAATTACTTCAGTCAGGGAAGCTGTCACATCACTCATGAAGTGCCTATGGAGCAGCAACACTGCCGCAGCAGCACTGAGCCCATGCAGGGCACCCACAAAGCAGGGATCGGTTTCATCCTCCTTCCTTGCCAGAACCCCGTCTGCCTGGGGACCACCAGAGGAACGAGGGTTTCTGGTGGGTCGGGGTGGGATGTTTTTTTTTTTCCTTTTTTCT